GTGTGGACTGTGTGTGTGTGTGTGTGTGACTGTGTGTGTGTGTGACTGTGTGTGTGTGACTCTGTGTGACTCTGTGTGTGTGTGTGACTGTGTGTGTGACTGTGTGTGTGTGACTGTGTGTGTGTGTGTGTGTGACTCTGTGTGTGTGTGTGTGACTGTGTGTGTGTGTGTGTCTGTGTGTGACTCTGTGTGTGTGTGTGTGACTCTGTGTGTGTGTGTGTCTGTGTGTGACTCTGTGTGTGTGACTGTGTGTGACTGTGTGTGTGTGACTGTGTGTGTGTGTGACTGTGTGTGACTCTCTGTGTGACTGTGTGTGTGTGTGACTGTGTGTGACTCTGTGTGTGTGTGACTGTGTGTGTGTGTGACTGTGTGTGACTCTCTGTGTGTGTGACTGTGTGTGTGTGTGACTGTGTGTGACTCTCTGTGTGTGTGTTTGTGACTGTGTGTGACTCTCTGTGTGTGTGACTGTGTGTGACTCTCTGACCTCTCTCAGGGTTCGGTACCCTCTCGGGATGTCCCGGACTCTGGGAGCCGCCATTTTGCCGTCTCTCGGTCACTCCGCAACAAGGCGGCTGCTGATTGGAGGCCGCGGAGCGGAGCGGCTGTGATTGGCCGAGCGGTGGAGATGAGCGGTCAGGAGCGCGGACAGTGAGTGAGACACAGAGAGAGAGAGAGAGTGACACACACACACACACAGACACAGAGAGACACACACAGAGACACACACACACACACACAGAGAGACACAGACAGACACACACAGACAGACACAGACACACACACACACACAGAGACACACAGACAGGCAGAAGAGAGAGACACACACAGCCCCCCCCCCCCCCCCACACACACACACACACACACACACAGACAGACACACACACAGACAGACAGGAAGAGAGTGACAGACAAACAGACACACACACACACAGCCCCCCCCCACACACACACAACACACAGACACAGACAGACACCCCCCCCCCACACACACAGAGAGAGACACACACACAGACACAGGCACACACAACACAGACAGACAGACAGACACACACACACACACACACACACAGAGAGACACACACAGACAGACACAGGCACACACACAGACAGACACACAGACAGACACAGGCACACACACAGACAGACACACAGACAGGCAGGAAGAGAGTGACAGACAAACAGGCACACACACACACACACACACACAGCCCCCCCCCCCCACACACACACACAGCCCCCCCCCCCCACACACACACAGACAGACAGACACACACACACAGAGACACACACAGACAGACACAGGCACACACACACACACACACAGACAGACACACAGACAGGCAGGAAGAGAGTGACAGACAAACAGGCACACACACACACACAGGCAGGGAGCTAGTGAGGCACACACAGACAGAGATAGAGACACACACAGAGACAGATAGACACACAGGGAGATAGTGACAGACAAGGATAGAGAGACAGAGAGAGAGACACACACACTCAGAGAGAAGAGTGAGATAGACTAAGGGAAAGCTGAGAGAGAAAGAGTGGAGCCATGCAAACACTTTAACATTATTAAGGAACATAGGATATTGCGTTTAATGCATAGCCCTTTTGCACTTTTAAGTTCTGTGTTAAATGTAAACATTTCTCCTGACAACTTTTGTGTATTTCACGTATGATCTTAGATAAATTAGGCACTTTATTATCTTTTTTGATTTAGATAGCGGAATTCAAATTGTTTTCAAGGGTTTATAAGATCTGCAGTTTCACCATTTAGTTGTCACTCATATTCTCCCCCATGTTGCAGTCAGCCAGCAGAAGAGTGTGTAGTAAGGTTTTCTTTGCAGATATTTCACTTCGAGAAAACATTTTCCAGAATGATATCTGCAGAAAGATTTGTACCTCTCCTTGCAGGCAGACTCTTATGCCAGCTTGGGTGTTAGATAAATATGGAAATAATAATGTGTTGCGCTTTGCAAAAAGTACCCTGTTTCCAATTGTACATTACCCAAATGAAGTTATTATCAAAGTACACGCTTCCAGCTTAAACCCTATTGATATTTCAATGAGAAGTAAGTTTATTTATGTGGGGTAATAACCCTTTTCTTTAATCTCTCATACCCTATGAAAAACTATTGTTTGTGTATTTTTCAAAGTTACAAATTATTGATTGATTTAACATTGCAAGATTGGATTGTAGGGGGTCTGGGGAGTTGGCAAATGACATTTTGATGTTACAGAAGTTATATCAATGCAATGATTATTATAATAAATGATCTTGGAACTGATTACTTTATTCAACCTTTTTAAAGGGGCTTGGTCTTTACAAAAAAATGTTTGGCAAGCATGTTTTTATTTGAAAGAGGTAGAAGTAATAAATATAATAACCTTGGATTTGATATAGCAATTTTTCACGTCTTGTAGACATATCAAAACGCTTCACAGCATAGACTATAAAGTGAATTGACTGTATACTTGTATGTTTGTGGGCGAAATGCAGCAGCCAATTGCGCACAGCAGTGTCCCAAAAACAGTCGTGGATTGAAGTGACCAAAGTATACAGTAAATTCACTTTACAGTATATTTTGTGAAGCGTCTCAGTGACGTGATAAGGTGCTATATCAAATGCAAGGATTATTATTATAATATATTATTATATGTTGGATCTATGTTTAAAATATTTCTTTTAATTGTTCTTTTAAGCCACATACCAGCAGGGGAGGGGAAGGGGAATAAATGGGTTGAAATTGCGCATTCCATCCCAACAATCTATCTCTGGGATTTCCACGGATAGGTGGGATAAATGGAATACTCAGTTTGGTTTGGATACTTGAAGCACTGTGATGGGTTTCTGCATGTGACAAACATCCGTCTGTCCCCCAAAACATTGGCGAAGGCCAATATTCTTTCTGTTCTTCCACTGGGGAAAATTTTGCTTTTGCTCACTGCTTACTACTACCAGTTCCAGTTTGATTGGGAGATGCACCATGAGGGGTGTATGCCAAGGCCTGTGGTCCTTTCAACAAGTTGACAATCCCTGCCCTGTACTAAACAGATTCTCTCCTTCATCCAGAGCAACATGAGTTTTGGAGCTTCTTGTGGGCAATTAGACATAGAACCTACGTCCTATACTGTGGTGCAGCAATAACCGCTCAGTGTTTGAAATACAACATCTTCTTTCTTTGAGTGAAGTGCCATATGAATTACAAGCATTACAGTTGTGTACTTTGTTGCCTTCTTTAAAGATGGTTATGGTGCTGCCACACTGAACATGAGACGCGATCCGTTGAGTATAAATCCCGCGGGGAGCGAGTTTCCTCTGATTCTGGGCCGAGACGTATCAGGCGTCATCATGGAATCTGGCCTGGATGTGTCTTTTTCAAGCCTGGAGATAAGGTAGGCTTGGCCATCGATTGTGGCATCATTGAGGTCATTATTACAGTAATTATTGTCTAGTGACTGCCCCAAATTTTTTGTAGTCCTTCCCCATACACGGAGGCACTGCCCACTATTTGTTCCAGGAATGTGCGCTTTTAATAGCTTACCGATGGAAGGTGGCATTTTCACAATAAATTAATTTTAGGAACTTGTATCCTGGAGCTTCTGCCCTCTGGATATGTCTTTGTCTTTCCCTGACATTCACAGAACTCAGACCTGCACTAACTGGCATGACGGAACAAATAAGTCTCAGTTTGGTGGGCAGCAGGTTAACACATACTGCCCTAGTCTTTCAGAATTGAAGGTTCGATAAGATGCTCATGAGACTGCCATTGGTATATGAAGTCACACCACATTGTAAACATCATAAGGCCCAGGACCGCACCGTTCACCTGCTTGTTCAGGCAGCTTGGGCAGCCAATGTCACCCACATGAAGAAAAATGAATGCACCACAGGTTGATCTTCAGATAGATGATGCAGCGGGAATGTTTGGCACCTGAGTGTGTCCTGGTGGTTTCGGTCTGTTCTCTGCCACTGATTGATGCTGTTTTTGCAGACTCAGAAGAGTTGAGCCTAGACTGAGGTCTGAACATTTGACACGGGCAACAGAAGTTTACCTTATGTGAGCACCGAGCCATTGCTGTGGGGATATTAGTTTCAGATTGACTGAACAGGAGAGATTAAGATCAGTAGTGAGGGTTTGTAAGATCTCTGCTCTGAAAGAAGATAAAACTGCCCTAACTAGAAGTGACTGTAGCATTGAAGTGTTTGAGTGCTGCAGTGACAACGTGAGGATTCTGTCAGCCTGGCTCATTTGGCAGAACTCATAGTGGAGGCTGACAGTCCAGTATATTGTTAGAGGTTTGCTGTATTGTGGGAGGTACCATCCTTTGGTCCTGTCTGCCTGTTCAGGTGGAGGTTAAAGATCCTATGGCACTACTCAAAAACAGAAGGGCAACAATTATGCAGATAAAATTGGTCATCCAGTTCATGACTGTTTGTGGGACATTGCTGTGTGCAAATTGGCTGATTACAAATACACAGTCCCTTCACAGAAATTCCTGTGAAGCGCTTTGTGATGTCTCAACAATGATAAGGTGCTATATCAAATTCAAAGTATTATTATGTTGCCCACCTACATGCCTATCTCACACCAAATTCTGCTGAAACCCTCATTCAGCCTTTATTATCTCCAAACTAGACTTTTACAATGTAATCCTCCGTAGTTCCACCATGTATAAGCTCCTTTCATGCTCCATCAGTGGCCGAACCTTCAGCTCCTCTGCCAGATAAAACTTGTCATTCATGTTGTGGCTGTTTGTGGGACATTGCTGCAGGCAAATTGACTGCTGTGTTTGCCTCCAAAATGCACAGTTAGCATATTTTACTGCAAATTCTTGAAATATTTTAAAACATTCTCCTGATGTGAAAAGTGCTATATCAAATTCAAGGATTGTTATCATTCGTAGAAGCAGTTTTTTGGCACCTGAACATTCAAATGCCTTTCTTTCTTCTTTCAGGTCTGGGCAGCGATCCCACCCTGGAAACAGGGAACATTGGGAGAGTTTGTTGTGGCAAGTGCAAATGAGGTACAATTGACAGTGCTTTGGGCATTAACCTGAAACCCCTTTCTTTACCTATTGTTTCTGTTGTAATGAATGGACAGCAAAGTGGTGTGTACTCATAATTTTATAAATGTTTTAGTTTTCTGAAAACTAGTCTGAGAATGAAGAAAAAGGGCCCACTGTGAGTTCATTCAAAACTCCATTGCACACATACTCACCCACATCAAGCTTTGTACCTCAATTACTCATTGTGGGAGCTTTGAACATTTTTCATGCTAATATTGTAAAACATGGAGTTTCCTGGGCTTAAATAATAGCTCTCATAAACAGAGGGATTCACAAGAGCTGTTGATCCAGAGCTAGAATCACAAGAGTTCTTCCTAAGCAGGATCTGTGCCTCTCCTTTAACCCAGCTGGTTGGGTTTGTGATTTGAGGTTCAAGCCTTTTGTGACCATCAGAAACACCTTAACTTGTAATCAGACTGTGCTCGCTCACTGGACAAGAAATTGCACTGAAAACACTTTCATTGTTAGAATGTTAATTGAGTGATTCACTTGTGCCAACAGTGAACAAAGATGTGGGTTTGGGCACTGTACATTGTACAAAGTTTGCTTCAGTGTGACTGTACTCCAGTGGTATAGGCAGAGAGAGCTGACATGGCTGTTATCAGAGTGAAGGAG